TCTTCATTGAATTAGGTTGTTACTTTGCGCCTTTCCTAAGACTTCATGATTTAGATGCTTAGTGGGCAATATTCATGAGACCTAAGTTTTTGCACTGTAATATTTCGCTAAAGAGTTTTAAATCATCCTTTGTTTGACCATCCATTTTTTGACATTGGCAGGAGATTAAGAATTATAGTGGTTGGGTGCTTGATCGGGGTTGTGATGTTAACTTTTGGAATGATGTGTCATGTTTAGAGACATCCATTGCTGATGCATTGCATGTTCCTATTACTTCACAATATCTACTTTGTTCCTCTGTTGATTGTTTTGTGCAAGGTTCTGCTTAGCCATTCCTAAGTGGCTTTTGTTTATACTTTTATTGCCATCTTTAACTCTAGCACATATTTATCCTCCTTGTGGTATTGATAAAGATTAACCAATTTTGAACGCTAAAAGTATTGGAAATCTAACATTTTGAGAAGCTTTATTGCATGTCAGGCCTATAGTCAAAGGGTTATGTGGGCTAAATACCTTTGGTCTAATGTTTTTCTCCCCTCTCGATCTTGTGTGTTGTGGAGGCTTCTTCATAATAAACTATCGACATATGAGAATTCGCAGTCTCATGGTATAGTTATTGTCTCTATGTGTAGCTTTTGTGGTTTTATTAATGAGAGTGTTGATCATCTTTTTCTATGTTGCCAATTTGCAAGTGCTATATGGTCTTGGTTGCACGACGTTATTCAGTGCCTCTTGATCGATCCTTAGTTCTTACATTACTATAGATTATGGAGAAGCCTTGGAGTAGTTAGCTCTATGAAAACCTAGCTTCAATGGTTATTCATACCTTTTGGGTGATATGGTATAGTCAGAATTGCCTACGTTTTGAGAATTGTACAATCTCACTACATCAAATTATTTCATTGATTATTGTTGGAGTTGCATTGTCTTGTAAGTTGTCCAAAGGTCATTGCTCTCATTCTATGGTAGAATTTCAAATTATGAAGCATTTTCTTGTTACTCTTAAGCCTCATGTTGGCCCTGTTATTAAACAAGTTGACTGGTATCCTCCAATTGTTGGTTTCATTAAATGCAATGCTAATGGAAAAGCTTGTGGAGCTCCTGGGTGGTATTTTTAGGGATAGTGGTGGTGCTTTTGTGGGTGGCTTTACCTCGTATATTGGCACATGAAAACAATCCTGAAAGTAGAGCTTATTGCCCTAATGATTGCTATTGAATATGCTCATTCAATTGGTTGGCATTGATTATGGTTGAAAAGTGATTCATAGCTTGCTTTGAAAGCTTTTTCTAATGGTTTAGTTCCCTGGGATCTCCGTAGGGGATGGAAGCATTGTTTAGTTTTTTGTTCACAAATGCATCTCGTCTTTTCTCACATTTATAGGAAAAACAATTAATGCGCTGATAAATTAGCTAGTTTTGGACTTGTTTCTAGATGTCTTTTTAATGGTGGGATGTTATGCCATCTTTTATTAGAGAGCCATTTTTTTTACGTAATTAATTAGAATGGTTTACCATCGTTTCAATTTTGTTGACCTGTACATGGATTTTGGCTTATGTCCCCATGTTTATTGTTCATTTTTCTACTTTTTATATATTTTTTGGTGGGTTACGGATGATTGGTAGGCCTTAGAGCGTTAACATGGTTGGGATGACTTAGTCCTATAATAATGCTTAACTTGCCAATAATTTTACTAAAAAATATATATTTGTATATAATTTTTCATTTTACTCTAAAAATGAAAAAGTAACTATGCACAATATATATTATTAATAATTTATTTTCAATTTTAGAATAAAATAAATAAATAAATATATATATATATATATATATATATAAAAGAGAAAAA